AGGGACACATGGCCAGCAGTGACAGCCCTGCCAGTGTCAGGGACAGCCCAGCCCAGAGTGATTAGATTCTCGCCTCGGAGGGGTCGAAGGCCAGGACACCTGTGACCTCTGGGTATCTCGGGCCATGATGGAGCCTTGCCCAGGCTGTCTTGCATGGGGCTTTCTACCACAGCCCAACCATGTTCACTTTTACCACCTGCTTGATGTGTTGGTGAGTTTAAACCAAACTCATGGCACAACCCCTGCTCCCGAGTCACCCCATGCTCCTCCAAAACCTTCTGCTATGCAGACCATAAAGCCACCGCTGTCGCAGCAGCACCTTCGTGGAAACAACCCCCTCTTGTATTCTGGGCAGCACTGTGGAGCTGGGGACGTGCATCCCTACCACAAGCAGACACACTGAGCAGCTATCACAGCCTGTGAATGTCCGGAGCAGAGCCTGGCTGTAAGCAACCTCCTGTGCTGGGATGTGCAGCCGGGAGCAGCCATGGTAAATCAGCCACCGGCACTCGTTGTGGAGCTGAGAGCTGGAAAAGCCTCTTCTCCTCCCACAGAGCAGTCAGTGGGGTGAACCCCCACACGTCCAGGCTCCCAGCCAGCTTGAGGCGTGCTGGGGAGGACCCAGCCCGTGACTGAGCACCAGCGAGCAGATGACCCCAGACTTTCAGCTTCTCCAGCAGACAGGGCTGTTCCCACACTGCACCAGCAGCATTTCTATCTACAAGTCATGTTGACGGGAAGAGGATGGGAATTACCTGCAGCACGGCCCTTCCAGATCCTGCTGCTTCCTCCCTTGGTTGCAATGTGTCCTCGGCTCACCTCTGCCAGGGCCAGCCCTGTGCATTAGGGTGCTGGTGGGTCCCTGAGGCAACAGCAGAGGTACCTGTGCCCACTGCCTAGCAAGACAGAACAGAGATAGCACAGAGACAGCAGTCAGCTAACACTGCAGAGAATGGGACACTCATCACACCCACCACCAGCGTGGTCCCAGCTGAGGGTGGCTCTGACAGCCCCTTTCCTTGCCCCAGCTGCCACCGAGGTGCCACGCACCCCACAGCTCTCTACCCCATCTCGCAGAGCCGCTGCACCCTCGTATAACAGGGGATGCTGCATCTCCAGGGGTGTCCCCCTGGCTTCCTCCATAGCCCAGGCAGACAAGCCTCAGCCAAAAACAGTATTACCCCAGTTCGGTTTGGGAACCATCAACAGAGAGCTCATGGAGCAGGGGACCAGCCCCACCTACAGCACAGTTACAGCTGCGCCTCTCAGCCGCCCTGGAGCCGATTTCTCAGCTATGGAGAGTTGAAACCCAGCAAGAGAACTGTTGGGGCAGAACTGGCTGGGGCACCACGAGGAAAACCGCTGCCTGGCCATGCTCAGCAGATTGGCTCCCCATCCTGCTCCTCCATCCCTGAAAAAGCAACTCAAACCTGACCTCTGAAACCAGAGCATCCTCTGGAGCCTCTCAGCCGCCCTGGAGCCGATTTCTCAGCTATGGAGAGTTGAAACCCAGCAAGAGAACTGTTGGGGCAGAACTGGCTGGGGCACCACGAGGAAAACCGCTGCCTGGCCATGCTCAGCAGATTGGCTCCCCATCCTGCTCCTCCATCCCTGAAAAAGCAACTCAAACCTGACCTCTGAAACCAGAGCATCCTCTGGAAGCTGCTGGCCCCGCCCATTTTTTTGGCAGGCAGCCAAGCCCCGGGCCAGCAGGCAGGCAGCCCAAGCCTCTCACTGGGCACAGTCGGGAGGGCCACGGAGAGTGTGGCAGTGGGGGTGCATGGCCATGGTGCTCACACATAGTGACCTCCACATCAAGCCGTGCTATGGCCATGTTCCTCTGCTGCGTGGCAGGATCAGGGTTCCTCAATGCTGCCAGAGTGAGGAGGGATCCATCCCCAGCAATCTCAGCATGCAGAGCCCCAAAACAGTACAGAGGAGGGATGCTCAGAGCCAACCACCTTCCAGAGCAACCTCAGAGCCATCACCTGGGTTGGGGCATCATTTGGCTCCCTGGGTACCAGCACCTCCACCCCATGAGAGCAACAGTCTCCGCACCTGTACATGCATCTCCAGCATGGGGAGCCCACATATGTACGTAGACACACAACAACTTCGTTTTTCCCCCCAACCCTATGCAAAACAAGGCAGCCCTCACATCATGAGCTCCACACTTCACTCCCCACATAGAGAGAGGCTCCTGCCCCTCACTACCCCTGAGCACCCCCCCAGTCCAGCCATGCCTGAGCTCACCTGCTCTTAGACAGCCCTGTTTGTTTGCCCAAGGTATTTGCAGCCGGGGGCACCTGCTTTGATACCATCAGCTCCACGAAGGAAGCTGCTCACCTAGCGTGACCCCTGTAATCCCATCCTTCCCCATTAAGCACTGTGTGTGAGCGCATCCCCCTTCCCAGCCTCCTGCCATCTCGGCATTTATCTCCCTCTCCCGGAGCTGAGCACATCAAGGCTGTGACATGGCTGGGGAGTGGGGAACAAACTGCCCAAGTCTCACTTAGAAAGCGGCCTGGCAGTGCCAACACCCTCAGGCCCCTCTGTTGCCCCCTCTGGGACTGGGGTGTTCCCTCTCCCCTGGCATCGCCCTACAGCAGCACTGGGGACCAGGCAGCACTCGTGGAAAGGCCTTGGGCTAGGCTGGTCCTGCAAAGAGGTGGACAAGTTTGGTCTCAAGCCTCCTGCCGCCAGCACCATGTTCCCCATGGTGCCACCTTTGCCTCCTGGCAGGACTCTCCCTCCTGCCACAGACTCTTGTCCCAGGTACCTGGGCACCCCTAAGGAAACCAACTACCTGAAACCAGGTCCTTCTACCCTTTAGGAGGCCAAATTCTCCTTCTCATCAGCCAGTACTGCCTCTCCTACCCCATGTGAAGCAGTTGTACCACCCTGACAAGGCTGAGCTGTGCCCACTCCCTCCCCTCACCACCCTTTGCCAGGCTCTGAGCCAGCTGCTTCCCCCAGCCCACCCTTCCAGGAGCGCCTTGTTAAAAATGACCTACTGGTTCTTATCTCCCCCTACCCATGCTACTCCTCTGCAGAGAGCAAGCAGGACCAAGGCCCAACAGATAAATTTTCCCTGACCCCTTCCACCTGCACACAGCCAGGGAGATCTATGAGGTCCTGTGTGCACCAGCCCTAGCAGGGGCTGGGCACCATCCCGGCACAGCCACAGCTCCGTTCATCGCCCTGAACTCCCCTCCTGCACCATCAGCACAGGGCACCAGTGCGCTGTGCCCCACCAGCACCTCCCAAACACACACCCAGCCCTCGGGGAGGATGCTCCTCCATCTCCTCACTCCGCAAGGCTGCCGAATTGCCCCGCTTCCCACAGGCTTCACCAGGGCAGTTAGATCTGCTGCGGGGGAATCTCACAGTGCTCGGGGGCATGGGCACAGACCACCAGCCCTGGGCACCCTATTGCCCTAGGATGGCAGGAGGAACCATGCTTCTGTCGGAACGTGACCTCTCCTCACACAGCCAGCCCCGAGCACGCTGCTCCACGCTGGGACCCGGAGCAGGAGCAGAGCGCTGGATGCCCTTTGCATCCCAAGGGCTGCCCAGAGCGTGGCCATGCCCTGGTGCAAGCCCCCAGCGGGCCTGGCATGGACGGGCAGCCGGGCAGGGAGAGGGGCAAGGAGGGAGGGCAGGGGCTGGCCGGACCCCGGTGGCCGCGGAGCCGCCGCGCTGCCCGCCTGCCACCTAGTGGTACCGGCCCCCGGTACCGGGGCAACTCCGCTGCCTCTGCCAGCCCCCCCGCATCCTGCCCCCGACGCTGCTGCGGGGTGCCACGCACAAGCCAGGGGGGTCATCTCCCCCAGGCCGGCTCTTCTCTGTCCTCTGGTGCCTCGCAGGCAGGCACAGTCCCATGCCACGGGGCTGGGATGCCAACAGTCCTTACCCGTTTTGCTGCAAAAGGCACCGAAGCCTCCCCTCGTGCTGGTCAAGGGTTGTTTGGGGCCAGAAGGAAACAGCGGGGAGGTGGAGAGGAGCTGCACAGACCCCAGAGAGAAACAGCCCCACTCACAACCTCGGATGGAGCCCGAGCTGAGGATCCACCCTGGAGGATTTCCTACCGGAGTCTGTCCAGCTGGGAAACTCCCTGTCCCAGGGCACCAGAGCCAGCAGGGCAGAACAGTATGTGGTGCTTCTTAGGGACAACAGCCAGTGCCACAAAGAGGGCTGGGACAGGCATCGATCCATGGGCCAGGGTTGCAAGATCAGATGCAGGGAAACCACCAGAGAAACATTTAAGGACAGGACCAGCCCCTGGGGGTGAAAAGTGCCACCCAACTAAAGCACAGAAAGGATCAAAGCCTCTTCAAGTACCCACACATGGGGGGGCGACATGACTCCTCAGCAAAGGTCTGAGCTCAAACCTGCCCCACACCCTGCAAGTGCTGCCGTTTCACCCCTTCACAGGGCACTGCTGGACTGGGAGCAAGACACAAGCGAGGACCTTGCTGTGACAGTGTCCAGCACCAGGGCCAACATGGCCCAAACGAGGTGGGTGTTGCTATCAGCTGGGTTACCTTTGGGAGCGCATGTGGAGCAGGGTCCCTGCCCTGTACAGCTGTCTGTGACTCCGTCCCTTCCCTCGGTAGCCTGGATGCAGCACTGAGCCGGCTGACAGGGCACAAGCGTGCAGAGCCCACGAGGAAGGGGTAAGAGCCCCCGGGTCCCTCCTGGGAGCTCCGCAGCATCACCGAGGGAAACAAGTGTCAGGGACTAGACACGAAGGAGCGTCTCCCACTGAAGTGCACACAGGAGGAACCTGCTAGCCAGCAGTGACTCCCCTCCAGACCTGACGCCTGAGATACCTTTATTCAGAGTGTAAAAACATTTCTTTACAAAGCAGATTGACCCAGAACCTCCCCCCAAATCACAGATAGGCTGTGAGCTCCCACTCTGCCATAACTGCAGTTGAGGAGACAGCCTGGGCCCCAGTTTCACACTTCCAAATGTTTTAAAAACTGTGAGTATTGTGAGTAAAGAAAAGCAGATTGTGAGTAAAGAAAAGCAAACACACTAGAATCAGTGAAACTGCCTGTCCCACTGCTGGCTTTATGTCCATCTACTTGGGAAAGGGCCAGGACTGGGTATTTCAGAGGTAGGGAGAAGGGGTGCACAGAGCAGAGGTTCAGAACAGCAAAAAGGCACAGGGCAAGGATCACCCCCTCCATCCCTGACTCCCAGCACAGAGATGAGGGAGAGGGCATATACCAGCAGCATCCATCTGGTTTTGGGATCAACCTCCCATGGCTGTGGGAAAGGAGACACCCCAGTGCTGGGAGCAGCCCCTGCTCCCCAAGAAGCTACAACAGAAAAAATAATAAAAATAAAAACAAAGCAGCAAATGTTGAGGTCCTGGCAAGAGGTGTCCGAGGTAAAAGCCGTCCAGGGAGAGAAGTCCCAGCGAGTACCTGGAGGAAGAACCGGACTGAGACCAGCAGCCTCCTGCAGCAGGACAGCTTCCACCCACACTTGCCACGCCAGTGTCACAGCCACCCGGACTCTTCCATCGAGGCTGCCTGGCCCCTCACCTTGCCCGGAGACAAGTTACTGCTTCCTCCTCTACTTCTTGGCTGGCATGATAGGAGGAAGCTCCACCTCCTCCTCCTCCGCAGACAAGTCATCGTCCTCCTCAAAGGAAGCATCTTCCTTGTGCACTGGGACATGCAAATAACTCTGTTACCCACCACCGTATGTCTTTGGCCAGTACAACTGACCCCCTAGACACCCCAAGAGCAGAGCAGTCCAAGGAGCACTGGAGCAGTTTTAATAGCAGCTTTTGGGCAATAAGCTGTATCCCAGCTGGAGGAAGGTCTCATAAGGGAACGGCAACAACCAGCCATGTGAAAAGGGGGCAACATGGGTCATCCAGATCCCTTTTCCCATACAAGGCTCTATGGCACGGAAGGAATCCCTGCACAGAGATGGCCCCTGGGGAACCTGCACAAAGGAGGCACCAAGCACACGTGCCAGGCAGCAACAAGTGCATCTCCCAGGGGCTCCCTGGCCAGTGTTTGCACTGGAGGGAGCCCCTCCATAACCCTCGCTCCTCCCGAGCCTTTCCTCACACATCAGTCCTTACCAATCCTGTGCCAGCCAGCGAGGTGTACTGGGCCAGAGCCTGCCGCCAGGCGGAAGGTCACTGGAGGCTGCAGCTTGAAGTTGTCCAGACTCAGCTGCAAAGAGACAGAGATGGAGCTGAGTTAGGGGCAGAGGCAAAAAAGCAGAATGGCCTGTAGTCCCCAGCATGGCACCTGGCCCAGTTAAACTTGTCCTTCTGGGGGCATCTGCAGACAGGCCAAGGCTACCCAGGGCATTTCCCTATGAGCTACAGACCAGCTCATGGTCAGGATCCTAGAAGAAAGGTCCATAAACATCCAGAGATGTCCGGCTCCCTGCAGCCATCCCCACCTGAGTTTTCAAAACAACCTCTTACCAAGGGCTGGCATGACAACTTCAGATTCGCCACAGGCACAGCTATCTCCTGGTTCTCGTGGTTTCGTCCGACAACCTCCACCACGTTGCACTCGTCCTTGGCACCGTCTGTGAGGCAGACCTGGGTGGGAGCAGAGATCATGAACTCCTGCTCTCCCAGGCAACGCAGCAGGGACAGCCAGGGCTCTCCATGACCCACAGCAATGCTACCAGCCCAGCTGCCATGCAAGGTGCGAGGATGCTGCTCCACAAAACAGGGAGAGGATGGAGCATCCCCCGCAGTGATTGCCCCCTTAGTGCCTGCAGAGGAGCTCGGTGTCTTTCCCATCCGGGACAGCTGTTCCTGCAGCCACCTCAAGAGGTGGCACCTGGGCTGCATTTTCTGCTGATCTGATCCATGCTGGCAGGTCCTGTGCTCCCAGGACAGAAGGTGACCCCAGGGAGAGCCAGGAATGAAGCCCGATATCTACCTGGGCTTGGAGAGCAACATGCCCGAGGCCCAGCTGGTGAGGAGGGCATGTTCAAGCATGGGGCACCAGCAAGGTCAAATGCAAGGGAAAAATACTTCCCTTCACCCCGTGTCTGGAGCACTCCTCTGCTGAGCAGCCTCATGCCACCACAGGCTTTGCTCAAGCACCTCCATACAATGGGTAAATGCGACAGCCCTGTGCCCCGACCTCAGCCAAGGGAGTGCCCTGGTCCAGCCCGGCTGGGGAAGGGGGAATGAGCCTGCGAAGTGGGGGTAAGGCTGTGGGCCACTACAGGGGAGGACAAGCAGAGTTAATTCTCCTTTCTCTTACCACAGACAGGGCCAAAATGTGGTCAGAGTCATCTTCCTTGTCCACCTGAAACGTGTAGGATTTGGTACTGTCAGTCAGCTCGCAGCCTGGAAAGAGAAGATCAGAGAAGCTGCAGCAGCCGTTATGCAGCCCCAAGCACCATGGGCAAAGGGTTCCCAGGGTAAGCCCCGGCTGGGCATGCACACAGCATCCCTAAGATGCTTTATTTTCTCATGCTCAGGAGCAGCCTCAGGCCAGAGCACCCTGAGCTCCAGGATAAAGTGTCCCCAAGAACTATGCATCTGGCTCAGCACCATACAGGGACAAAACCTGGTGTCCCTAAACCAGGCTGCGGTGAAGCAGTGCCCAGAGGTACCCAAGACCCCCAAAGCACAGGCAGGGCAAGACTCACCCCCCCCCCGAGAGAACTGCCAAGGTGCACGGCTACAGTGAACAGGAGAGGGAGCAGACAGAAAGGCCGCTCTGCTCTCCCCACTGTTAGTGAAGCATTTGCTCTGGAGGCAAAGACACAGAGTGTGAGACCTGAGTGATGAGGAACAGCCCGAGGGGAGGGACACTGGGCCAGGCTGCAGGGAGCTGGAGTCCCTTGAGACAAGTCTCAAACCAGATTTTATTACATACTTCTCCAAACAGCTATAAAAACAAGAAAGATCCAAAATTATGTCCTCAGCTCTTAGGATCAGGATTCAGCCGACCATGGGGAGGGACAAAAGGCAGAGCGCCCTGGGTGTGTTTGCTTATTGCAGGATGATTCACCAACGTGAAGCAGATCGGAAAAACACAGACCTGAGCCCTGCATACCAGACCCGGCATTTGCAGTGGAGAGAGAGGAATTAGCCTCAGCAAACACAGCCCAGGGCAGGACCACTTCCTAACCGTGCTTATGTATTCGGCTCACCAGGGCAAGGACCTAAACCCAGGTGCCCAGCAGAGGCCCGGGGGGCTGCCGCTCGGCTTGCCTTG